TTTAAAATTTTAGAATTAGTGTGGGCTAAACAGAAGTGGCAGTGAGTTGTGCTCCACTTGACCAGAGGCATGTGAGAACAGTAAGAGCAGTTTAATTATGTTCAGATGCTATGGTGATATTTGTCAGTAGAATTACCTTGGATCACATATATTTAGAGATTAGGTTAGGATAAAATAGACAGATGGGAAATGGCAGGGGGAAGAGACCAATAAAATGCAGCTGTAGCTCCAGCTCAGACCTTTAATTAATTAGCTTGGAAAAGGAATTGCTGTAGAACAGATTGGAAGATTTAAGAGAAACCTGAAATAGTTAATCTTTGCAGTTAGATTAGACTTCATGGTTAGTCAGAGATTCATGGAATCCTCTTTCGCTGTTTTCATGGGTTGCTCATTAGATGCTCTAGGCTCCTTCAATACAGAGTGACACCACATTCCTTAGATGACAAAAAAAAATCATAGGCAATTACACTGCACACAGGATGTAATTTCTTATAAACCTTTCACTAAGAAGGCAAACCTAATGAAATTGTACACGCAATGATGCTTTTACTTGAAACATGTTGGGTCATGTGCTTTCTTCCACAGCACACAGGGAGAGCAAAACATTCAGGAAAGCAAAATGTGCCAGAGGAAGAGGAGTGTAAAAGCAGTCATTTCCCTCAAACACTCCTTCCTGATCAAGCACCACAGCCTTCCGGGGCTGGATAGGGGAGAAGAGGAAAACCTTGGGGTCTCTAAAACATCATTCTCTTAAGACTGAAGGCAGATTTCTAACTGCAACCCAGCAACAAATCTCATTCGCAGACAGTCACGAGGGACTAGAACATGCTCCCTAAGGGAAAAGAAGTCCCTGGGAAGACAGAAGAGGCTCCTGCTTCCCTGCCGAAGTCCTACCTTCTGTACCGTATACTTGTTTCATAGTGTGAAGAAGCACTTAGCCCTTCTCCTGCCTCTCACAGGAAATATTTTAGGTTAAAATTTGAAGGATTTCTTTGTTTCAGAAAATGTGACATTAAGTTTAGAGGCTCTTGATGGCAACATGCAATTTTTTTCCCACTAATCTGAACCAACTTTGAACAAGAAGTTTCTCAAGAACAAACACAGTTCCATTGGTTTCTGCCATCACCTCTTCCAAAGTTCACAATTTTACTCTAGATAGCTCAGCAAAAAGCCCAGGAAGAAATGTTTTTGGGAAACACTGTGCAACCTGGTCCCTGAGTTTCCATGGATTTAGAGTCAGTGTTATATGCTGGAGCTACGGCATTGCACACATCGCTTTTCTTGCCAGTGAAGCTGCTAGTGAGATGAGATAAAACTGAGGACCTGACCATTTTGTGAGCAGTGGGGATCCCCAAGGGCTTTTTGCAAAAATGAAGCTGTTGGCTCTAAAGCCTGTGCTGGTTCAGCTACAGGAGAGTGTGAAAGAGAAAAGCCAAACCTCCCAGAGCAACATTCATCACATTCATCAGTATGGATGCAACATTTGCAAGATATTTAAATAATATGTTGTGAATGGCAACCAAGAATCTTGCATGAATTAGACTGTCATTTCAGCTCAGGCAATTAGTTTTTATTTACCCAGTTTCCAAAATTCCCTGGAAATTCTCCTGTAACCTGTTAGGTGGTTACTCAAGTTAGAATTGCTAAAAAATGAGAGAGAAGAATGGTTAAGAGTGTTTCTCTCACAGAAATATTGTGTTCGTTGTCCTAACGGCAGACACAAATCTGAAGCCTCTTCACTGCAGAGCCTGTAATCTAGAAAGAAATAAAAAATTATTAGAGAAGATGAAACAATGTATACATTCATTAAATATATTAGCACTTAAAATATTAAATGAAACAACAATTATTTCCAACTGCTTTCAACTTTGTTCTTGATAATTACATGCGATTATAAGCATCTATGTACACTTAAGGGAAATTGTATACCACAAAGTGACATTACAATTATATAATTTAATTCAATAATTTAATTACGGAGGGACTCAAGGCTCAGAGTGAAATTAGACTAAAACCTAGACCAACCCATTTATGAGTCTCAGCCTGAAGAGCTTTAAACAGAGATCTAGAGGACAGCAAATCTACCTGTACTTTTTTGTTCCCTTCTCTTAGATTGTTTAATTACAGCAGCACATGAGATTTATGAACAGTTTAAAAATGCAGGAGAAACAATCTGAAAAGACAGACAAAGCCTGGTTTCTTAATTGATGTAATCTAATAAAATGAGGCAGAATTATAGTCACTATTCTTAGGAATGCTTTGGGGCAATTTTTTCAGCAGGAGTGGTTTATAAATACAGGCTCTTTTACAAATCACACTGTCTCTAGGTAAACAGAGACATCCTGGGTGCATATGTTTGTTCAAGGATTGCCTGCACCCATCAGATTAGGACTCAGCAGCAGTAACCTGCCTTACTGGTTGAAGGGGAGCCGTCTCAGTTCAACTTAGTCCTTTATGAGTACAACAGCTGTTGTCTGGACCAAATCTGAGCAAGGAACAACAGTTTCCAAAGCTAAACCCTCAGATCTTCATAGCTTGAGGACAGAACTAAGGCTTCACAGTTAACAGTTGTAATGATATCATGTGCTGATGAATGGATGTGAAGAGACACAGAAGCTGACTAGTGACTCTGCTAAAAATATAACCAGCATTTTAATAACTATGTCAACTGACAGGTTTTTTGAAAAACAGAAGAAGAAAGTTCTTACACAACACAAACACAGTTTTCCTCATTCATCATCTTGTATTTTTGCATCAGATAATTCTTAAAGTTAACTCAAAGTGTAGATTAATCAAGCCAGGCAGATATTGCAGAGGAGAGTTTCAGCAATCATTCTGTAAAGCACTGTTTTTATCAAGACATAGATGTAGCTTCCAAAAATACTTTTCCAATGATATCCATAGTGCTACGATCAGTAGCCCTAGCCAAAAGCTCCCATTTTCTTCCACTTCCTGCAGAGCTTTCTGAATTTCTTGTGTTTCCAACACATCCTGGTGTCTTCATTCTGTTAAACGAGTTCTGCACTTTTTACTCCAGCCTTTGTAGGGCAATTATGAAGAGCCCTCATCCAGTAGTCATCTGACCTCCAGCATGGCAGCCTTATTTAGGTTTCTACCTCGCTAGACAAAAAAAGAGATTGGTGTTGCAAAAAAACACACACAAAAAAATGGTGCTGTAAACAGTTACAGCATAGGAAATTGGAGGGAAAAAAAAGTTTCAAACTTTTTAGAGACAGTGTTATTTGTAGAAGAAAAGAACTTGTACTGTTTTTGAGAGTTTTTTCTTTTAGATCTCCACACCATATACCTGGTCAAGGCAACTGTGGTATATCTGCTTCACCTCTTGGTCAGAAAGACAATAAAAGATAAATGTAGAAGATGAATACTGGTGCTCCTAGCTGTCAGTCCAGAACTTCATTTTGATACCAAAAAAACTTCTCTGACAGCCCTGTTTCCAAAACTGGATCTTCAGCTGTCGTTCCCTAATAATCCTCATAATTTAAACTAGTGCCACCAGCAAGGACTTTATCCACTGTACACTTAATCTAGGATATATACTATCTGAAATTAAAGATTTTAATGTTTATTTAGAAAACACAAAATGATAATTTATCAGACCTCATATCTCTATTCTGAAATTCAAAATTATTTCTAGAAAGGAATGGTTTAAGAAAAATAACAAAGTTCCATTATTTGGTGGGCTGGTACCAAGTTATTCTTGCTTCTCTATGGCATGTTAGAAGACAAGAAGGAAGAAACCTGATGGACTTCCTCAAGAGACTTAATTTGATCCTATACCTCTGTTCAGATGCTACTGACTGATGCTTAGTGGCCAACTGTGACAATCTCTTTGACTCCATCGAAACATACTTGTGTTCCCAATGATATTGCAAGCAACAAACCAATAGAGTGAGAAAAGATAATCACAGCTTCTATGTCAGTGCTCATCAAAAACATTCTGAATAGCAGTTACAGCACTGGCATGATAAATCTCATTACTATTAAAAGAAATAGCGGGATTGGTTTTGAAGGATTATGCCTTGAACGCCACTGATGTTCTAGGCAGAGAGAAGATAATGTCACTCACTCTGAAAATTTCCAAATAAAGTTAGAAATGCTGATATACGAGACACAAGAATACACAAAATTTATGTAAACTCCTAATACTGGAAATGTGTCCCTTTTAATACATCCAACCCAACAGTTTATATCTGAGGTCTACAGCTTGAAGGTCAAAACCTAAACCTCAATCAGCTGACTACCACTGACTCTTGAGATATGATGTGGAGTTGCAAGATGCAGCTTGTATTTGATGATTTGCAATAGGAAAAGGGGAAATAATTTTAAACTAAAAGAGGATAGGTTCAGACTGGATATAAGGAATACATTTTTTACAATAACAGTGGTAAGGCGCTGACACAGGTTGTCCAGAGACGCGGAGGTGCTTCATTCCTGGAAACATTCAAAGTTAGGTAGGCAGTAGCTCTGAACAACCTGATCAAGTTGATGATGCTCATTACTAGGGAATTGGACAGGACGACCATCAGAGGTGCCTTCCAAATAAAATCTTTATTCCGTGATGTTATGATTTGAGTACTCCTTGATTTTTAACCTGTTATTTCCCTTGATTTAAGTTGTCATACTGTGTTGCTCCACTTCTGCACTTTGCTGTCCTTGCGAGGTTCAGCTTGGGATGATGGCCAGCGAGCATCCAGCGAGCTACTGCATCCCACCAGCCCCTCAGCCCCCGGTGACCCCAGCAGAGCTGCCCTACGCTCCTCTCCACGGTGACCTCAGCCCCAGCACGGTGGGACGAAGGCAGCCGTCTCTCCAGGGCCAAAGCCGTCACCATCCTCCGGGACGGCGAAGCACCGCTCCTGCGGGGTTCATAAGCATCTCCCCGCTGTCCCCCGGGGAAACGCGGGCACATTTTGGCCCGAGCAGCCGGGGCGGCCGGCGGGAAGCTCCTCCCTGGGGGTGTAGCACAGGAAGGGGTGGCGGTCGGGGGAGTCGCGGAGCTCCCTTTGAGCCGGCGGAGTCCCCGCTGTACTATGCGTGTGTCTTGTGTTACAGCCATGCTGCACATCGGCGGCCAGAGCGAGGGGCGCGGGGAGGAAAAGGCTGTTTACACAGACTGCAAACCGCCCGGGGAATAGTGCGGGAGAGGAAGTGAGCCGGGCCGCTGTCTGACTGCCCCGGCTTCCTGCTCGCTCCCTCTCACGGGCAGGCGCTCACACACACACACACACACACACACCGGCCCGAGGGGAAAAAAAAAAAAAAGGAAAAAGGGAAAACAAAATCAGGATCTCATTACTAGAGCAACAGAGAGCCTGCAGAAGACTGTCAGCATGGAGAATCAGGGAATTTTACTCGGCTCCCTCTAGACTACCAGGAGAGAGCGGAAAAGTCCCTCAGCCGCTGGGTAGGTACAAGTGCTGCTGCGCCCGCCCCGGCTCCCGCAAAGTTTCGGGGGGCTGCGGGCAGAGAAGGGGAGGCCGGCGGCTGCTGCGGGGCCGCGCTCCGCTCGCGGTGGGGTGGCAGCGGGGACAGCCCGCGGGAGGGAGGTGAGGCTGCCGGGCACCGCGGGGAGGGGGCTCGGAGCCCCGCACGGGGCCGGGGAGCCCAGGGGTCCTGCCCCGGGGTCGGGCCCGGGCAGCGCGGCGGTAACGAGGCAGAGGACGGCCGCCGGGGGGGCGGGATGCCCGGGGAGGCTCCCACCGCCGCAGGGGCCCCCGGCCCGGTGGAGGGTTTCCCCGGGGGCCCTGCCGCCCCCCGGGAGCTGCGGGTGCAGGTGAAGGGACGGACCGTGGCGGGGGGCCCAGATGCGGGAGAAGGAGCCGCAGGGTAAGGAGCAGCAGGGCCGGGGGTCAAGGGGAACCTCGGGACCCCGCTCCGCCCGCAGCCCCTCGGCGGTGCCGGGGCGTTTCGCGTCCCGCTCCCCGGCGGTGCCGGCTGGCGGTGCCGGGGGCTGCCCCCTCCCAGCGGCATCCCGGGTACGGCGCTCGGGGCGGCGGGGGCCGCCCGCTGCCTGTGAGGGCGGCGGGGGCGCCGCGGGGTCCCCGGCGGCGCTGCGAGGCCGAGCGGGGCCGGGGAGGGCGCGGGGGGAGGGAAGGGAAGGCTCCTGCAGAAACTGCAGAAGGGGCTTTAAAAAAAGGAAAAAAAAAAAAAAAAGTGTCGGGAGAGTTTCTGGCTTGTCTGGAAACAGCAAGACTAATTGCCATGCGCTTCCGGTTTGAAACTGGCAGCAGACAACATCTTGAAAATGAGTCACTGCAGCTCACAAAGAAACTCTGTGGTTTTCTCCCTCTCAGGTTTATGTATTTGCTCCTTTTCACTGTTTCCTTTGTAGTCTTCTGCCTTCTCCCCGGACCTCCCCCCACCCTCTTTTCTTAGCCACCCCCTGCCCCCAGACCCCCTTGGCCGACGTGGATAGTTTCCACCACCAAATGAAAAAAAGAAAAACACAAAAAATGTTTGTAAGGGAAAGGCAAAAAAAAAAAAAAAAAAAAAAAAGAGAGGGAGAAAGGGAGAGAAAGTGGAGAGTTGTTGTTGGATCTGGCTTTGCTGAAGGTTAGAGGGACTCTGATGCTGCAGGGGGAAAAAGTTCCCTGAATTTTCCACTGGCTGCAGGAAGAGAGCCCATTTAGTCATGGCTAAGTAATGTCTGCACACACACCAACTAATCTCATTAGGAGTTTCCGTTCCCTAACACAGGAGGGTTTTGTGAAGCCCTGTCAGCCTTTCTAACGTTGCAGTTGAAAGGGAGACAAGTTACATCTTTATTTACTTAGGAGTGTAGTGCTATGACAATTTTATATAATGTAGCATCTTTTAGGCCATGACGACTCCAAAAGTCAATCGTTGCATTTCATTTCAAGCCGAAAGTCGTGATTCGTCTCGTATTTTGCTCATACAGACTTTTCAATTATTTCAGATTAATTTATGCATAAATATTTTCATAGGGTGAATCATATAAATGGGGTAGCAAGATGTCTCTGTTATGATAAACATGTTCTATGCATGTCTGACAATTGCATGTAATTACAAAGTTAAAAAATTTTGAGGCAAGATACTGAGGTGATGGCCATATTTGAAAAATACATTCACCCACATAGCCTTCCTGTGGTGGGTGCTTTACGTATGTAGTTTTCAAGTGATTGTATACATACCAGTTTTGATTTAGTGGTTTGTGTAATTACTTTATGATGATTTGCTTTCATAATGGTCATGAAAGAAGTCTATGTTCAGAATTACAAAGATTTTTGCCATGCCCCACCAATCTTTAAATTAGAAGCAACAACTTTTTGCGGTGGAGCAAACAAAGAAAATGGATTCTTGCTTGCAAGTGGATTTTAGCTAAAGGAATTGTCAATAAATGAGAATAAAATTGTATGCATTAGAAAGTAACACTTAGCTACTTACTTGAATTACCATGTGATAGCATAAAACTAATTTGCAAATATTATGCAGAAAAGCAGTGCTTGCAGTATATCACGTGTTTACCTCTGAGGATCTGCAGTGTTTCCTGCACTTCCTATGTCCAAGTGGCACAGAAAAGTTCTTCATTAACATCACTTCACAGAGGACTTCTATTAGTGGATTAGTGACACAATCTCCAGACACAGATGTCTCTTGATTTTCTAGCGGGGCACTGAAGAATTTTTGGAATAGTGTACAAACCAGACAATGCCTAATCTCTGTCTCAATCAAATGCAGCCATCAGGAAGTGAGGGATTGTTTTTCAGTTTTGGAGGTTTATTTCTTTTGTAAAATTATCAGTTTTAGAGAAGGAAGTGCAATACTAGACATAGCATTCAAAAACCTGTTGAATATGTTATGGAGCAGTTAGTGTGGTGTACAGCACCAAAACTTACTGAGGAGTGTTTCCTGGCTCTCACTATCTCTCTCTGAAATATGGACAATAAATTGTTCACTTATTGTGTTGAATATGGCTGGAATTTTTTGTCCTGTCTACTGAATCAGAGTAGATGAAGCACACACATTCATACATACTTACATACACATACGTATATGTAGTTTATCCACACTATATAAATTTTGTATGTTGTGTTTGTTCGAGATAAGTGTAAAACATCTTGATGCCCTCGGGAAAACAGATGTAGTAGTAGTGTACTTTGTGTTGTGTGTTCTGTGAATTTGAAAGGCTGAATGAGAAGTAATCCGTAGATGTGTTAAAATACAACAGTTCTGTCTGGACTAGAAAAAAAATTCCAGATATTATGTAATGCATGATAGTTTCCACTCAAATAATAAAAAAAGTATTAAGATGCTTTTTTTGTAAATATAATTTTATTCTTCACCTGTCTAAAAATGTATTAGGAGTATATATTGTCTGCTCAGTATTACAATCATTGCTTACATCTTTATTTTTCCTAATCACCTCTGTGAGTTGTTCCTAAAAAGAAAAAGCCCCACAGGCTTATATCCTTTCTGGTATCACCAACTCCACCTAGATGCAACAGCTGAAATAAGCAACTGAGTCTCAGGGGAGAAACTCAGCAACAGCCTTCCTTGTAACTGTTTATAACAACATGCACATGGACACTTTCATATGTAGAAACAAAAGTGTATTTTGTTTTATTCATTAGTGGCTTTCAGTGCTTACTGATTCACAGTGCTTCTTTGCTCCTGCTACTTAATGTTAGTCCATTAAACTTAAGTCATAGGAAGAAATCAAGTATATCACTCCAAAGACTGAAGTGTTTCCCCCTTGCTGTGCATAAAATCCAATTATGTAAACTTTGCCTTCTTCTTGTGGTGCCCTTTTTGCGATGGAGCTATTCATTACAGAGTTATTCTTAGGGGCAGCTATTACTGGTCAAGTGAACACAAATATTGGTCAAAAAATGATTCTGAAAGATGGCACAGAATGAAAGTAAATGTTCAGGCTCACCAAGGTGCACAGAGCTTGTTGTTCTTGCTCTGAGGCTCATGTTTGCATGTAGGAAGGTAGCTGTGTGCAACACAGACATGGGGGTCCATGAGCTGTACAGAAAATACAAACCTTAGCCTTGGGAATGCAATCACATGACAAGTTGCTTCAGAAGAAAGAAATAGGTATCAAACAGACATTTGGCAGCTAAATATAAGGGAGTGCGGGATAAGGGTGGGAGCACCAATACACAGTTACTTGTGATGCATGTATTTATTAAAAAGGATTTTAACTAGTGTGTTGGTGACATGATTTAAAATTTGTAAGTTCATGTAGTTACCATTATCTCTCTGAGTGGTTCTCTGCCATAATGCTAAATAACCTAAGATAATAAAGAACTGATAAATTAGCTAGTACTTCCCATAAAGATATGGCAGTTGGACTCCTTTGTGCAGTAATTTATCAGTCCATGGTTTCTTCTGTTGGAGGTGGCTCCAGTGCATGGCATGTCTGGATGCTGCTGCTGGAATCCATTTTGGAGCTGTGGCACTGATTATAGGACAGTTATCCTGGGCCAGTTTCAAAGAGCACTGTTGGTTTTGAGCTGCTGTCTGTGCTTGGTAACCACACCCAATGGCTCATGCCACAGGCTGTCACTGACGGGCCTGTGGAAGTCGTGTTGTGCCGTGTATCCTTGGATTGATTCACCGTGGCTTTCTCCTCGGTGTTTCCCACAATAGGGAATCTCATCGTCTTGAATCATTAGACAGATGTTTACTTCATCTGTGGCTTGTTAAATGAATCAATGAGTATTTTGGAGGCTGTTCAGAGCTCTTGAAAGACCGACTATGTCCGTTCTCATGTTGAAGTATTTTGTTGAATAATGAATGATTAAAGATTTAGTCATGATTTTGAGGAGAATGTCAAGGTGTAGGCACAGGAAGTCCATCTCACAGCACCACAAAATACAAGGCTACGTGGATGGAAACAAAGCAGATGAAGCATGAAGTGCCTCTCAGCTATGCACTTCAGAAAAAGAAATTCATCTTTGTCCTTAAAACTTTAACATATTGTGATTTTATGTGCCAGCAATTATATCAGATTTCAGGTTCTTATGGGTTTGTTGTTAAGAGTAGATTTTAATTCAAAAGCTCTTTGAAGGAGATTTTCTGCTTTTCCAAAATCAAGAACTAAAGAAAACACCTGCCCACAAGCATGGATACAAAAATACTACTTGGCAGCTAATTCAATGCCAGTTAACAATTGTACAGTCAGCTCTGCATTTTAATTTTTTTATGAATACTGTGGTAATTTTTTTGTACTACCAAAATGTACCCTGGAGCTGTTGATCTTCTTGATAGTTGCAATTCTTGGGTAGTATCTCATATTATACCAGACAAATAAATATTTAAGTACCATTTTAAAGTTATATGGCAGCTAAGAATATAGGAGGCAAATTTTGCCATGCCTTAGGCAGGTACAACTCAGCTGAAAATCATAGGGGATTTTTTTACTGTTGTGGAGTTCTC